CCTCCAAGCGCTCCTCGGCCGTGGCCGCCGCCGCCGCACGTGCACTCTGCGCCGCTGCCGTCGCCTCCAACCTCACCAACACCTCCTTCGACACAGGACCCGGGGCTGCTGCCGTCGCCGCCTCCGCCTCCGCCCCCTACGTCGAGCTCGTCGCCACCTTCAACCTCGCCGTTCCCACCCCCCGCATCGTCGCCTCAGCCTCCTCCTCAACCTCCGCCTCCACCGCCGCCACCGCTTCGGTCGCCGCCGCCGCCGCCGCCAGCGCCGCCAGAGCCGTCACCGCCATCGCCACCGCTCTCGCCGCCGTCGCCGCCGCCGCCGCCGTCGCCTCCGAAGCCGTCGCCGTCGCCTCCAGCGCTGTCGCCGCCCCCCTCCCTCTTCCCGCCGCCATGGATCGTGACGCTCTTGTTCCGGCTCGCGGGTCGCATCTCCGACTTCGCGCCTCCGCAGCGGGAGGCGATCCGCCGCGCCATCGCTGAGAAGGCCGGCGTGGACGCCGCCGCCGTCTCCGTCGCCCTTGGGGGCGGCGCCGAGCGCGAAGGAGCCGCGGAGGTGACGGCGGCGGTGAGCGTCGATGTTGTCGACGAGGCTGCAGCGGAACGCGTGCGTGAGGCCCTCTCCGACATCGCCACCAGCCCAGCGGCGCTGCAGTCCTTTCTCGAAAACGCGATGGGGGAGGCAGCGGGCGTCCTCGGGACGCCGACTCTCGCTGCCAGCCCGCAGGCTCCTCAGGCGGTTGAGGACGAGGCGGCAACCTCTGACCGAATCGTGCTCTTGGTGGTGGCCAGTCTCAGTGCGGCCCTGGCTTGCCTCCTCGGCATCAGCTGCATCTTCTGTGTCCTCCGCCGCCGGCAACTCGACGCGGCGATCGGCCCGAAGGGTGGCGTCGCAGCCTCCACGGTGGTCAAGGGCGGGCAAGAGTACAACCACAACATCTGAGGCGCGACGTACGCGGCGCAGGCTCTATATAAGGAAGAGGGAGAGCTACACACGGAGATCTTTCCAGTTTGAGTAGGACGAGCAGCTGAGGACGAGTGTCGATTGAGTGGAACTTCGCCGCTCGCCCCGGGCTCTGCGTGTGGCACGACGCCTGCGCGGGTGTCAGTGGAGTTGCCTGATAAAGTAGTTCATTAAGCGTAAGTTCAGTAATTCACGAGCGTCTTGAAGTTGATAATCGCTGATATCTTTTCAGAGGACAGCACACACACCGCGCCGCGGCGCGCGCACGCCCGAGAGTGCACACGAGACACCGACGTGCGCGCGCGCCGGCGCATGCTCTCTCTCTCTCTCTCTCTCTCTCTCTCTCTCTCTCTCTCTCTCTCTCTCTCTCTCTCTCTCTCTCTGTGTGTGTGTGTGTGTGTGTGTGTGTGTGTGTGTGTGTGCGTGTGTGTGTGTGTGTGTGTGTGTGTGTGTGTGCGGTGTGTGAATCTCTGTGTGTGAGAGAGAGAGTGAGTGTGTGCGTGCGTGTATGTGTGAGTGTGTGTGTAGGACAGCTTCTTATTAAAAAAGCTAAAAAGGAAGAACTGCCGTTGCACGCATTGGACGCCGTGTCTCCAAGTGCCATCCCTCCCTTGCAAAAATCTCTTCCATCCCGGATGCGCCTCTCGCCACTCTCGGATACCTTGGCGAACAGGCGCGTGGGCGACGCGGCTACACAGAGCCTTGCACCCTTTCGCCCTTCTCATCACTGCCCCGGCGCCCACGCCTCGACCTTCTTGGGCAGCAGCTGGTTCGACAGGTCCTCTCCGTGGCCTAGGCAGCCGGTGCCACCCTGACCCCAGGTAAAGACGGCGCCGTCGGCGGTGAGGGCGAGGCTGTGGCCCTGGCCAGCCGACACAGCGATGACGCGCTGGCCAGCAAAGGCCTCGATCTTCTTGGGCAGCAGCTGGTCCTGCTCGTCGCCGTGGCCCAGCTTGCCTTGGCCTCCACGGCCCCAGCTCCAGACAGCTCCGTCGGCGGTGAGGGCGATGCTGTGGTCGGGTCCAGCCGACACAGCGATGACGCGCTCACCAGCCAAGGCCTCGATCTTCTTGGGCAGCAGCTGCTGCTGCAGGTCGCCGTGGCCCAGCCGGCCCCCGCCTCCATAGCCCCAGCTCCAGACAGCTCCGTCGGCGGTGAGGGCGATGCTGTGGTGCAGTCCTGCCGACACAGCGACGACGCGCTGGCCAGCTAAGGCCTCGACCTGCTTGGGCAGCAGCTGGTTCTGCTGGTCGCCGTGGCCCAACCGGCCAAAGCCTCCATAGCCCCAGCTCCAGACGCTGCCGTCGGCGGTGATCGCGAGGCTGTGCGCGGCTCCAGCCGACACAGCGACGACGCGCTGCCCAGCGAAGGCCGCGACCTCCTTGGGCAGCAGCTGGTTCTGCCGGTCGCCGTGGCCCAACTGGCCGTAGCCTCCAACGCCCCAGGTCCAGACAGTGCTGTCGGCGGTAAGGGCGAGGCTATGCGCAGCTCCCGCCGACACAGCGACGACGTGCTGACCAGCAAAGGCCTCGACCTTCTTGGGCAGCAGCTGGCTCTGCTCGTCGCCGTGGCCCAACTTGCCCTCGCCCCAGCTCCAGACACTGCCGTCGGCGGTGAGGGCGAGGCTATGCGCAGCTCCCGCCGACACACTCACGGCACGCTCGCCACCCAGCGCCGACGAGAGGCGGGTCGGCGTGTTGAGCCGCCTCACGCCCTCGCCGTGGCCAAGCAGTCCGGGGATTGGCCTGTCCCAAGGTGGCCTGTAATTGCCGCACGACGAGAGCCGCCCCTCGCCGTCAATGAAAAGGCTGTGCTGCCAGCCTGCCGCCGCCCTCGCCGGCGGGTTGGACTCGCGCAGCAGCGCAGCGAAGCACAGCCACCGCACGGCGCAGCCCTCGCCCTCTGGCTGCGCCGGCAGCTCGAAGCCGCGCTCTTGCGCCCACAAGCGGATGGCCTCCACCGCAAGCGAGGCGTGGAAGAGCAGCGAGACGGCCGCGACGCGAGCGATGTCGGCGGGGCTGTAGCAGTGAGAGAGGGCGCGCAGGAGGAGCTCCGTGGGGAGGTCGAGGAGGCGGGTGGGCGGCGGCGTGTCTGGCGAGGGATCGGCTGCGGTGTCGGCGGCGGCGCTGTGGCGAGGCGGCGGGAGCGGCGCGGTGTCGGACATCGTAAAAAGAAGAATTTTCGATGTGGCGGCCCGCTCGGTGGGCTGTGACGGCTGTCTGTTTACAGCTCCGAGCACGCTCGCTCGCCGCTGGGCGGCGCGCTGCCACACTGCGTCGGCAAAACGCGACGCAGGAGCTCGCTCGCTGCTGCTGCGGCGGCGGCAGCGACGGCGACTGCCGGCTGCCGGCTCCCGGCCGCCGGCTGCCGGCTGCCGGCGGCCGGCTGCTGCCGACGGCTGCGGCGAACGGCGACGGCTCGACTGGCGCTCGCTCCGCGAGGGTGCGACTGAGCCTGCCGCGCTCGATCTGGGAGCCACTCGGCGCCAGTTCGAGCGGCGGTCGGCTCGGCCACTGCGGGTGCGACGCATGATAGAGCATGCTGGGCGCTGCGTCATGTACTTACCGCTCCACGCCAAGGCGCGGGGCGGCGGTGCTCGCCGGCGCTCGCGGCGCTTCGGTGCTCGGGCGCGCTCGCCATTGTGGTCGTTCAGGGCGGGTCGCACAGCACACGCACACGCGCACACACACACACACACACACACACACACACACACACACACACACACACACACACATGCATGCACAGACACACAGCCCATTCCCCTTCCCCCGCAAGACATCAAGGACGAGGACACGACACAGGACGCACCTCTAGTGAGGCCCGCATAGTAATGTGGGTGACTCCTGCCGCCGCCCCTGCCACCCCTGTGTCAGTGTGCCTGTGGTAGTGAGAGACTGCCAGCGGGAAGCTGGAGGCAGGTCACTAGACTGAGATGAGACCGCCAGTGGAGTTGGGAGCCCACCGTGCACCGCGCTGCGAGCCTGTCTGTCTTGTCGTGCGTGTCCCTTGTAGGAGCAGGAGAGGAGGAGAGCCCCACCTGTGCCCCTGTGATCGTCCTTCCAAAATCCTGGCTCGTGCAG